ATGACAGTGTGCACTTCCATCCAGAGCTTCCACAGGGAACTCTCAATAGCTCAGTCAATTCACAAGCTACTAATGTTTACAGCTGATCAGAGAAAAGGTTTGGGAAAAAAAAAAAAAAAAAAAAAAAAAAAAAAAAAAAAAAAAAAAAAAAAACAGATCAGGAAGAGAAAACAGAGAAGAACCTGAGAAAAAGAGGGTAGCAAGTTTCTGGCTCCAATGCCACACTCTTTTGTAACTAGCCACAATGCTGTATTAACTTTTCAAGTGAACCTGTCTGTCCCTCGGCACCCATTTAAATGATTGCCACTAGCTGTGGGAAAGCCAGTGAAGCTGTACTATACGGCAGTTTGGGTCTGAAACACTATCAGCTATCGATTGGATCCCATTAGATTTCTTACAATGACACAATCCCATCCTATCTGCCATCCTTCCTAGAAAACCTTGCCTATTCTTTGGTGAGAATTGCTCCATTGTACATGCAGACATTCACATTCTTGATAAGACAGTCAGGGGAAAAGTTCATGAGCCACATCCTCTACTGGTATAACTTCATTTCCCTTCCCCCTTCTCCCGAGAGTGATCTGACTCCCTGTGTTGAAAGGAAACAAGGTTGTCTATTCAGCTGCAGTCAGACATACAGTTTGTGTTAAGGCCCAGACAGCCCATGATGCTGAATGGAGATACTAGAGGTTCGTGTTTCTCTGCTGGGAATTTTCACAGAGCAGAAAAGGAATGCTGCGTTTTTGTTGTACAACTTCCGACTGACAACTGACAGAGCTTGAAAGCATAAAATTGCAATTATTCTCATGGTACAAGATGTCAAAATGTAGGGGAAAACAAAAAAAAAAAAGACCAAGAGTGATATTAAGAGTGTAATAGGACACTAAATAGAAATGTAGAAACAGATCACTGAAAATCTGAGTCCTACTGATTAGCTTGGCCATTACTACTAATCATTCTGCTAGGTCTCAGGCAAAGCGCTTTGTTTTTGAAATGTTCTTTTGATGGAATTGTAGCATTTTATAAAAATCATTGAATCTTTACTATCAAAAGAATATTTTATAACACAATTTTTATTAATAACTGAGCTTGATCAATGATTTGCAATGTATCAAAGATAAATTCAACTTCAGCATAACCAGTAGAGGAGTTTTCCTATTAAAAATGACCAGCAGCAATATATTTTGATCCATATCATAGCACGGATTCCTTTAGGAGAAGCAAAACCAGATCATACAGTCCAAGCAGTAATGGGTGTTTGGGCCACAAAACAAGGTTACAACTAATCCAAAGTAACACTCCTGCAGTGCGTACACTGCAAATGTCACATCCTTAATACCAACTATGGATTTACAGATCTTTTCTTGCAGCTTTACATATTTGCTAACAAAACATAGCCTATGTCCTTTTTGATGTGTGTAGAGTACATGCAAGTATATAAATTACAGCTCACTATCTCTTCCCACTGCCTTCAATATAGTAAAATGATAATTTCCATTGCATCAAATCTTAATAACAAATAAAATATATTTTTCACATTTGGCTGGCCAAAACTGAGGTATTTGTCAAATCCCATTCTGATAAGAAGATCTGAAAAGAAACAAACACCAAACCTCAATTTCTTCTACTCATTTTAGCATGCTCAGAAAAGCAAGAGCCAACCAAGTGCCTCAGGAAAAAAAAACATGCCATGGTCCTGTGGAAATATTCAGGAACCTAAAGCTGTGTCTTGGCTCTGCCAACTATTTGCTAACTTATATGGACTAAATTTGACATCTTAGAGACTCGGTTTCTTCATTGTTACAACAGGGTCTAATGGTAATTAACAGTTCTAAGCTGGGTTGGAGCTTGCAAGAAAGTCATATATATTCTTATTTTGTCCAACTTAATTGAAAATTGGGGACATACCAACATACCTTTTACTGTGAATAAACATTTTCTTTCACAAGAGTTTTATTCCAATTTTGCCACAGTGGTTTCAACAATGCTTTGCCGAGCTCCTACCTAAAACTCCAAAACTTCAAAGATTCAGCCAGTATTAATTTATAAGGCTGATTTATTAATGTGAAGACTGGGTTACTTTCAAAGTTAGAAAGTTTATTTCAGCTGGGACCCATGCACTCTCATACTAGGTTTATGACTATCTGGGAAATGAAATGGTTGTACAGTTTGTTGTTTCATTCCCACTTCTTGCATTTGCTACAATTGACTTCCCTGGGTTTTTGTTTGACAGCTCTAGTCAGCTGAAAATAACAATACTTTATGTTTGAACAGCAGCTTCCACTCTAATACCTTTACTTATTTTACAAAGGCACTCAGATACTTCGCCGACATACAAAGTACATATACTGACTGATTTTGTCAGCCACAACCAAACAGGGCTTGAGTTAACCACAACACATGATTTCAGCTGGCTGAATCCACACTGCCTGTGAGGATTAGGTTCAAGTTAAAACCGGTCCTTACCATATCTACGCTTGCACTTCCCTGCTTTGCAAGCCACTTGATGCATTGTCAAAGAAGGGCTGAAACTGAAACTCGAAGCACAAATTAGAGTGTGGAGCTAATATGACAACACAGATAGACTCATCAAGGCCTTAGGTCATTCCCTGTTGATTTTTATTAAAAAAAAAACCAGAAGCATATAAAAATTATTTTGTTAACGTAAAACTTGTGGTAACACCAATGACTGCTGCTCTGTGTTACTCTACAAAACATACCAATGCCTTTGTATATTCTTAGTGTTGGCTGATCCAACCTAAAGTCTACAATGTTTCTAGACATTTCCATATTTTAAGTTGCTCTTCCTATAAACTAATAATACTACTGAAAATTACAGATAGAAGCACTTAGCAGTAACATTTTAAAGTCGTGTTAGTGCTAGTATTAAATACTATATACTGAAACTGTTACATCTATTATGTATGTAAAAGAAAATCCCAGTGCTTTGTAATTTCATGCATTGCAGGGTGACACTGTACTATGAACTGTGAGTCATTTATTGCTATCCAGGGATATCTAAAATACATGTTTATTGTAATATAAAGGATAATATTCTTTATATAGTACAGTTCTCTTATTTTGCCATCAAAATTAAAATCAGTAAGAGAAATGGATGTCTGGAAATGAAGGAAAGAGGAAAAAAGACAGAAAGGACATTTTTGAACAAGTACATGTTGCCAAAAAGCTCTTAATATTCTGTCTTCTTAAGCCCTGTGTAACAATATAAGTTGATCACTGAGAGCTAATGAAAGTATCACTGCTGAAGTCAAGCTAAGGTGTACAACTGCTTATCACTTGTTTTCATTTTGTCTCACTGAGTAGCTAATTCTCTCACAGGATTATCCTAATTTCTCAGAGACTCCATTATTAATGAAAGCATTAAATGATGACATACTTTTGGATCCCCTCACTTGGGACCTGACCACTGTCCCATTAAGGCAACTGGAACATTACTATTAATATGAACAGAGGGCAGAATGAAGTATTTATCTGGTAGGTTTAACAGAAAACATGCCATACTCCAAAAACAAAGATCAAACAAGTAGATCACTAAAGGCTAAGGTCAGTTTAGAGGTCAGTCCCCATCTCCAGGCAAAAATGCAAAAGTATTTAAAAACTGCACCAGAAAAAATAAAAATGAGATTGACATTTAAGCTGCCAGGTGTAAGAAAATACAGCATGTGTTTCTATTTTTGAAACACAAGGTGTCAACATTTTTTCTTGCTTTTTAAAGCCAATTAATAAGTTAATTTAGATGTTTACATTCTTTCTTAATTCAGACACCTTAAATCAAGATTCCACAGTACACAATCTCAAACCTATATGAATCATGAGTAGGTTTGCAATATACTGTAAGATTATTTTCCTCTACATTATACATCATTATTTGAAGCACATTCAAATTAGAAAACACTTCAGCAAAACCATTACTGTGACTGTGTGGAAGCAACACTGCTGTTAACTTTATTTCATACCTAATTATTCTTTGTGTGTCTAATACATAAGATTATTTCTGTACACTTAAAATTACGTTCCAGGAAACAACATTGAACACCGCATTATCTATAAACAAACTTCTTAAATTATATGTTTAGCACAAATTTATATAAAATTCCATTTACAATATTTGTTCATCTTATAAGGATATACACTTTCAAATCACATGAAAGATTCACTGAAATATAACTACTGAATATTTTAATCTAACTTTACTAACATTTCAAATTAAAGTGTTCCTCTAAGAAGTGAAAGAATGTCTTTGGTAATTCCCCTGGCTCTCCTCTGCAAATAACTTTTCAACAGTACAAACTTTTAAATGCTAAAAAACTGAAGGCCACTTATTTCTCAAAAGTGAATGCTTTATCCTTTCCCCTTCATCATTCATTCCATGCTATTGAAACAGGCTGAATGGGGCTTAGTACCAGTGAGTTTAAATTGCTAAACAAGAGGCAAGTCTCATCATGTGTTTTGAATATCTACAAGAAACATACAAAGAATTATAGCTGATTATGTTTTTCTCTATTCTTGATAATGCTCCAGTTGCTTCTGAGAGATATGTCTGGTTCCCCACCCTGGGAAGAGTAGATCATAAATAACTGTCTTTAGGAGTTACAAAATATGTGATAACCTCACACCATATCTCTTTTTAGAAGAAACTAGCATGCTGACATTTTTTACTATTTATTTTAAAAAGCACTGGAATAGTGTTATATAATTATGTTTAGGCTTTTCAGATTTCCAGCCTGGAATGCCTAATGAAGAAGCGCTCCAGCCTCCCCTGCTCTGTGTGTGTGTGCGATCCTTCAATTCTTCCTGGGTTCTGATTTTGCATTTCTAACGAAGCTGAACTGACAAAGCGTGAAAGTGGTCTAAAAGGAAAAACAAAGAAAGTGACCCTGCTTTCATTGTGCCAAGACTAATCAATATTCAGAAGCTCAGCTTTCCCCTCTCTTCTGATGTGTTTCTATTTTTTTCAGAGTTGGGCTAACAGTCTCCTCCCCTTTCCTTAAGTTACAGTGATAGTAAATTGCTGTATTCCAGAGCACATGCAGATTGTCAGTTTCCGCTGTCTCCCGATCGCTCAACCCTGCAGCTCTGTTGTATTTGCTGGGAAACCCCTACCTTAACTGCCACCTCCGTGTGTTTAGAGTGCTGAAGATCTGAAAAGGTGAGATGATTGTTTCATTTGGTGGGGTTTTGAGTAGGAAGTCTTAATTTTTCACTCTCTGCCTTTGCATGTTACTTAATGTAATGATCCTTTTGTCTGTATCGATGTTCTTTCTTGATCGTAATGCAAGTTTGAAGGGCAGATAACCTGCATTAACCATCTAGGAAAGAAAAGGCATTGTGAATTAATCTTTTTTTTTTTTTTTTTTTTTTTTATATATAATACTAAAATTAATTGTTCTGGAAAAAACCCTGCTTGCACACAGCAATCATGTCCAAGCTAGAATACTTACTAATTTAAATATCTAGCTCAGACTCCAAATGTTTCCACTCTCTAAAGAAGCAAAGCATATAGCATTCTGTTAAAATTCAGAGAGGATATTGATCTAAAGTGCCAATCTTGAAACATATGGCAAAACCAGTGATTAAATCCCACCAAAATAAATTTGTTACAACATGGTATTTCCTCTAAAACATGCTGTTTGAAAACCATGTATTCTAAATGCTTCCTAAAAAAACATATTTAGGCACTAGATTTATTAAGGTAAGATGCTAGAGTTGGATTGTATATAAATGGAAAGAGACTTCAGTGGAAGCAACTAACTCTATCCATTTATTAATTTCTAATTTCTTCATAAAAACATGTGTAGTGTATCAACTAAGACTTCAGAAAATGGGATTCCCAGTCTGGAAAATACCTTTCTGCAGGCTCCATTATTAAACAAATTCATACCAAGCAGGCACAAAAAAAAAAAAAAAAAAAAAAAAAAAAAAAAAAGTCCTAAGAAGGACTTTTAATATTAAAACATTTTAAGATTGATTCAGTGTGTGATTTCTTAAAATCAGATTATATTCTCATAATTGCTGTCAGCCCAAACTAAGCATTACTGTGCAATGTGAACTTGTATTACAGAATGAAGCAACAAGCTAAGTGGGATATAACTTCTGATGTTTTACAGATGTGCTCTGAATAGTTTATACACTTCAAAGATGAATGTTATCAACATAAAACTGTCAAAGGCATATCTTCTAAATAGTGGTTGAGGGATAAATAAGCTATTCCTCCTGCATTTTGCCATGTGAAAAGGAAGAATTCAGCCAATGCATTCAACCATTTAAAAACATCTGAAATGCAGAACGTTTTAAATGTACCCATTCAAACAAAATATTTCTCTCCAATGGTTAATGTGTAGGTGAGCTAGAATTTTTTTCAGATAATATGGGCCTGCTAAACAGATGAAAAGCAAGCCTGACAGATAGTTTTAAACATCATAGCACCTTATGCTTCTATGAATTGTACCAATTTTATATTAGTATATTGGTAGCAACTGCAAAAAAAAAAAAAAACCCCAACACATTACTCCTGGATTTTACAGCATAACAGGAGTTCAGATTAATTTCTGAAGACATAGGACACATATCTGACCAGTCCATACAATCATTCTTTCAGTATTCTTTAACAGTCATTGAGGCTATGTATCAAAAACTGTAATCAACAACTTAGATATTACAAATAATACAAGTTTACTGAAACATGAAGAATATTTGTTTCCATGTAAACATATGGCTATGCTTTTCTTTAAAATCTTATTGCAATATTTGATATTTCTTGTCTTGCAGGTTTCTGCAGTACCTCCCACGGAAAAGAGTCTTCCACTTTTCTGAAGGGATATTGACAGAATCTAATTATAAAAGAAAACTTTCTGCAAGATAGATGACTAAAGGTAACGGAGAAGATCCAAAAACTGGAAGTAGGATGGAACGCATTCAACAAGGAGTCAGGAAACGTACACTTCTGGCAAAAAAAAAAGTGCAGAGCATAACAAAAGATGATGTTAAAAGTTATTTATTGAGGAATGCCTTTGTGCTCTTCACCGTTGTTGCTGTGATTCTTGGTGAGTAGTTTGTTCAATAGGAATATTCTGTTCTCCAGTGCATTTGACAACAACGATTTGCCTGGGTGATTTGCATTACAAATGAGATCCCAAATTCTTCCGCACTGATAAGAATGTTCTGGCTTGGAGAGTTTTGGCTTTGACATCTACATGTTGAAGTTCAGGGAAGAAGAGACATTTTAATTATTCTAGTATTGCTAAGGAGATTTTTTGTGAAAAAAACCAGCTGGTTTATGGATTCTTCTCTTAAAAAATCAGACATAGTAATTTAATTCAATGTTTTCAGTTAAATCTTTTTCCACCAAAGCCAGCTGCAGCAAAATGTTCAGGGTGTAACTTTTATTTACCTAAACTATCACAAACTAATACCTTGTAATGACAAACAGAAGTCCTCAATGAATGAAATGAAGTGACCTTTCTAAGCAAAGGTATATATTAGAGCCTAAATCTTTTCAGCTTTCCTTTGATAAATGTAAACCAATCAAGTACAAGCTTGTGCTCTTTCAGTCACTCATAATCTTACAAATGCATCTTTCAGATGCAATTGGGGCAACAATGGCAATGTTACTTATTCAGAGGACTACAAGATAGCATCTGATTAAACACCTTTTTTGCAGTATATGGAGAGGAATCCAGAACATCAAACAGCATTTAGATTTGGAATGCTCCAAAATGTAAATTTAAAATATTCCTGCACATTTCAAATTTACATTAGAAAGAGAATATTCCGAGAAGAGCATACAGTTGTTAAAACAGATTTTCCTTTACGTAATTATGTAATTATGTGATTCTGTTCCTTTAACTACAGATTTTCTAAATGACACCATGTGTGTCAAGAAACACCATTCTTTATAGTGTGAGCAAGAACATTATGGCTTCACTGTATTACTTTCATTTTTATTTTCTAATTAATTTAAAATATAAAACTGTGAACCTGCTCATGAAAACCCAAATGTTAGCACTTAAATATAAGGGTATATATCCTACATCTGTGTACACCCTAATGTACTTGATAGTGCTGTTCCATATAAACCCACTTGCTATGTTTCTACAACTTTTTTAGGATTTAAGATTTTAGGGCTTAACCATTATTGTTTCTTGATATCACATCTGCAAGGTTATTTTAAATTAATTTAAAGTTTGATGGTCTTTTTCTGGGAGACAATTATGTTAATTCACATATTGGTAAAATAAAGTACTTTGTCGCTATAACAGAAATGCTAGTCTCTCATATTTATCAACAGCATTTAATCACAAGTGATTTTAATTCCTAAATAAGAATTTGTTCATTTCAAAAACCCCATTAATATCACTAGTGAAAAAATAAGTCATCTTATCTGCAATGGTCAGGAAAGGCTGAACAAATTAAGCAGGTTTTGAAACACGGTCCAACCTTAAAGAAATGCAGTTCTTAAATTGTCACTTGCCTATACTGCACACCACCAATGTGCTTTAGCAATTTTTTCACTGTCATCTAGCTCCAGTGTGACTCTCACAAATTTGGCAATGTGGGAACAGAAATGTAGGCTGGAGAAGTGTTTTTACTGTTATTGCATGTTCCAATTAGCTTGGGATGACTACTGACAAATGTCTGCCCACAGCTCCGCTACCACCTACAGCAATGGCAGAGCACCAGTAAGGCTGGAGTTGGAGAACTAATGAAACTGTGCAGCCTGAGATGAGCTGGCTGCTCCAATTCTCCTCATGAAACTACAGACATATCTAGTGTAGTATGTGGAAAAAATTCTTCTCATTATTATCATGGAATACTCCAAAATTTTCTTACACTTGTTATTTGTGGTGTAATTTTACAGTACATATATATGATTAGAACAGTAAGTTCACACTTTGTAGCTCATAAAAAGATAAGAATTGGTTTTTTGGAGAGTTTTTTGCTGTTGTTAAAATATTCAGAAGTAGGGGACAGTAGGCAAAACAGTTTGGAAAACAGTTGTTGAACTCCATCTGTGTTGTTTGGCCAGAACTTAGTTGTTATCATCTCTCAGTTGTTCAGTGATCTGTGGAAAATCAGATGTTGGGCTTGATCCCTTTCCTAGCAGACAATAATCAACATTGTGAAAATAGCCCACCAATTAACACCACTGGCTGTCTCATCAGAGATGCTTGGAGGTGGAAACCAAACTGTACTCAGGCCAGGGTGGAATCATTTACAAGAAATGATGCTTAATGTTCTCTGTAATCTAAACAGACAGATGACATCAGTTTTTAGGGCTGTCAGTCCAGCAATTTTCATAAAGACTAATCTCACACAAAGCAAAATTTTAGCTTTAAAAAGAGCAACATTTCTTCCAAAACATTTATTTCAGGCCTCTTTTGTCAAGGGACTCACATGAAAAAGCGTATTAAATACAGCATTTCTGATTTCTTTGATGAGCAGGACTGATGCTGGTAGAGGTTAAGTGGATAGGATCATGTCTTAGCCCAGTTTCAGGACTGTAGTTTGTAGTAGCTGAGTTTGTGTCTGTGGAAACACGTACTTTGTTATGAAGTGGGTAGCTGCAACATGCAGTTGTTTGTGTTGCATACTGATATTTTGCAGAGTAGAGATTTTCTTGCATTCACATGATAAGGAGAAATACAGCTATTTATCCTAACTTCTGCTGTTACTCTGATTCTGAACTGAATTCTAAACTGAATCCTCTAGCTGCTACAATACAAAACCAATTAATCTTTCAAAGCCTAATGATGAAGGTGCAAGAAATTATAATTCCTGTTGAGGATTACTTAGCACTATTCTCAATTTCCAAAAAATCTCATGAAAGGTCCTCCTGACTTCACATTCTGCATACATAGAGTCTGTCTAGCACATCATCATTATCATTGTTGTTGCTACTTTTAGTGAAATTTAAACTGCTTTCAAGCCCTTTGAGAGACTTTGAGAAAAGCATGCTTAGTAAGTGAGTTATGATGCAGTTTTTCAGATTCTTCTGGTACACCTAGAAATATTAAATAAGTTTTCTGCAGTGGATCTTGGCAATAACCAATAAATGAGAACAGTTATGTGAGGTCAATCTAAGAAGATGACCACTGGTAAATTCAGCATGTCACGATGACCAGGGGCAATTTAAGGTAGGCTAGGGGTCATGGTGGCTCATGGAAAATCTGCAGGAAGTCTTACAAACTTTGAAGTGCTAGCCAAATTACTGGTAAAATCTCAGGCAGTGCCCTCTCTCCCACGCCACTTAGCTCCATCATCCTGTCCCAAAAATGCCTTCTTTTCAGATACCCATCCTTCAGCACTGTCTCAATTTGCTGCTACTTACCTCCCATTTTCCAAAAATGCCACAGGAGTCTAGACTTTATTCTGGCAGGACTCCTAAATGCTGAAGAATCTCCTGTGGATTCTGAACTTGTACCGAAGGAAAGATCAAGACACACAGAGCTGCTGAGCAGAGACCTGGGAAGCTGATCACAGAGAAACACTGTTTTAAGGAAGGCTCAATGAAATAGAGGAAGGTTGTGGAGCAAGTGCTATAAAAAGCAGTTTCTGTGTAGTTATGAAGCCATTATAGCTCCAAATAATCAGCTAAAATCCTCTTTACAATGCTGAAGTTATATGCTGCTGTTGTCCACTGGAACATTCAAGGGGAATGGAGATGGTTCTCTTTTCTGGCTACCTGTCCACGGAAGGGAGCGCCGGACTGGCTGTGTCATTGAACCCAGCCTTCTGTGATTGCAGGAAATCTCACAATAGATGTGAAATATAGATAAGCCTATACAACACCTGTTCTACAACAGCATGCACCATATATAAGATTCTAAAACTTTCCAACATATTTATAAAAAAACCCTAGTTAAAAGTACAGGAAGAAGACAAGAGAGATGAAGGCATTGCCAATGTCTCCTATGTCCCTGAAAAAAAGCAAAGAGTTAAGTAAAGCCTACAGATGATCCTTTGCAAAAAGGCAAAAGTCACAAACCCCCTGAAATACCTAAACAGTGAAAAGTGGTGCAGAGTAGCAGATGCTCCTATCTCAGTGCATTCTTGGTCTGAACCATAGTTTAAGATGAGTCCCAAGAGGCACAAGTCTGTAATACTCAGGTAGACAGAATCCCTGGGAATTCTCACATCTTTTCTGCTACTGGCAGATACTCTGCTTCCATTGATGGCTGGAGCTGACATACCCCGAGAAGAGTATTTGACCCCATTATACACTGACAATAAACAAGATGACAGTGCCTAAGGCAGACTTGGTAAAATTTGCATGAGAACAAAGCAAATATCCATCACTGTAGGAGAAACAGCTGTGGAAGTTGAGTCCCAGGTGAAAGAATATATTAAACATAAAGAGAGAAATGTGATACCAGACAAAATATTTAAGATATATATAAGAAAATCAAGGTATTTTGGGGACAGCTAAGGAGAAATTAATTCTATTTATCTTGGACTCAGAGGCTGCCTCTGTCCCAATGCTCTCCTAAAGAGCCTGCCCAGCACAATTGCTTTCTGAGTGACAAAACCTTCCTAAGTAATACTCTGAAAAAAATTGTTAAGCAAAACCTTCATACTTTTTGAAATTAAGAAATAGTTCTAATTGGGGGGAGGGGGAGAGGGGAAACCATCAATAAAAAGCATAACCAGATCTGTAAGATCCAGAGTAACACACAGAAATTAAAAAGACATGATCCTTTTCAAAAGGGAGAAAAAGTATAAAAAATACAAAGAACTTTAATTCTTCTATTAGATGAAGTGAAATAAGAACAGTACAATAGCAGTTACTTGCAAAAGAAAATTGTTAATTTATTATCACAATTGTAATTTCTTGTTGTACGCACTGGTGTTATTGAAATGAAACGACCCTGGTTGTTGGACTGCCATATGTGCCACACAGTAACAAAAATAAACTTGGCTAATTTGTGAATCACAATTGTACATTCTGGAGACAACAGCTGTGCATATATGCACAGTAAAGACACAAGATGTGCTAAATATACACTTACTACTTTCTTATTTGCTTTAAATTGTCAAATCAGTGGAC